GTATATGTATATGTATATGTATATGTATATGTATATGTATATGTATAGTAAGTCGTGCGCGTGATGGTAAACGACACGCCTGTCTACAGTAGCAGTACTAAGTTTACCTTTAGGAAATACATTAAAGATTTATTATACGCAATATATATTATTTAGATTATACGCAAACAAAAACTTGGTATTCCGAAGCACTTTGAGTTTATGGTATTGCTACCTTCCATCGATGATATATTTTTGTAACTCCTATTAATCTAATACTAACACTAATCTAATTATTCTGTTATTATTATTGTGTGCACACAAACTAACAGTACTAACCATAAAATTAAATATGATTCTACAAACATTTAATTATTTTGATATACCCTATCGTGCACTCACTGCCGCGCAGCGGTTTCGCCGTTTTCAGCTTTTCTCGGGCGTAGCATAATATCAGTATACGTTGCTCTAATTGAGCAGCAATTACACTGAGTTACGGCCGTTTTATCACTACAGCGCACACATGCAATGCGTTGCGTTGTTCAGTGTGGTAGGGTTTTATATAAACTTGTGACGATGAGACCTCCTTACATCATCATCCCACCTTTTTATCGCTATTTCTCCGGTTCCTGGCCACGCGTATTTAAATTTTGAATCGTTCTTTAAAAATGCCTTTGCCCCGCCATTCCGATCTGTTTCGTTCCATCGTCACTCCCTGCCCGATCGCGGCAGCGAACACATCTTCTCGTTAATTTTTTGAACCGTTTACCAATTACCAAAAATCTCTTGTGCGATAAACATTTTAAAGATCACAAATATTAACATAACGGGACTAATATTTATAAAGCTGGATTTATTACCACAATTTCTTTACCCTTTTGAATTTTGAACTTTAAACTTGTTAAGCAAGATATATGGAGGCTGCGGAGGCGACTACTACTCTCCTGCTACATTACAATCCTACAGAACATTCCAACGGGCACCACCAGGGGTGTGCTTTTCAAACTTGTAAATTACAAAAAATCCCGCGCCCGCAATGCTTTCGCGGTCGCCTCTGTGTGGCCTGAGCATAAAGGTAGTTCCCCTTCATATCTCATTATATTTATCCATCCTGTATACATATAGTTTATTATGTTTCTCTTCCTGTGTCATTACCTGTACTAGTGATATGTTACCGACGACCATCGAAATGACCTCTTTGCCGGATTCCATGTTGCCCAGGTTGGCCTGTGTTGATAACCGCGATGCCAGGCACATGTCCAGGTTGCCTGTAGACAATACACATTACACTTTATACAATCGCTTGGACAGGCCGCCTGTCAGGCTGCCGAACTTACATCCTCTAAATAACATCATGTTAAAAACAAATTACAAACACGCTTCAAACACGGATAAGGGAGAATTATTGACTAAGACAACAACGTAATTTTGCCACATAATTTATAACTCCACTGTGTATATTTTTTACTAACCCTTCACAACTACACACCCATACATTCACTCACAGACACAACATGTTTTTAATTTTACAAAATTTGAAGTTAACATTGTAATTAGGGACTTAAAATTATTGTGTTCACAGTGGATCACTGACTCCTAAGATACAAGTTTTCTTAGTTTAGGAGCTAAGGAATCGCTTCATTGTTATTTTTGTGAATAAATATTATTATTATTCTAAACGCTGTGGTCAAAATACAGTTTATTAAAAAAGATCTTAGCAATGAATATCGTTCCGTGACACATTTTTCGTTTATCATTTTTTAACTAAAACTGTAAAATTTTTGGATTCTTGTCAAACAATACGCAAAATTCTCGCAAGTGACAAGTGCACATTGACCCGTTCGTTTACCTACCAATGATATTCGTTGACACGCCATAAGTGCGGCTAAATTATTATAAAAACGTGTTCCTCAACTTGACATTGGCGAAATCATCGATTACTTTGATGAGGCCATGATGAGGCCATAACATTTAAAAGAAGAAGAAGATTTAAACCTAGTTTTAGGAACTTCAGAACGTTCAAAACTTATTTACATAAAATAATATTTTCCTTAGCTATACATATTTATATCAATTATGGTAAATTTTAAATAGTTTCTGAAAAATTCTCGATTCCTTGCACTAATTACTTCCTAAGGTTTTTTTATGATATCAAGTGGCGGGACGAACAAGTCATACGCCTGGTATTAAACGACACGTCCGTTCATAGCAATTGCAGTGCCACTCAGAGCCTTAAATATAATATACTCGACGGCTTAGCGGTGGTAACCGCTAGTTGTGCAATGCGCAACGGGTAGTGAGCGTTGCTACTTCTCCGGTATCTATCTGGAAAATAGGGAGGGTACTGTACGGGCACCCGGGGCAGCTCACCCGAGGTACTAGCTTCTTGAGAACCGGATGAGGTCAGTGACAACGGTCTGTGACAACCCTGTACACTGGCTGATCTGGGTTCAAAAGCTTAGCTTATAAGGTTCCTATGCGCGCACAGGTTATAGCACCCTTCTCGTATACCCTAAAGATATGGTCACGGTTGACTGACTGATGGGACCAGTAAAGTGCCCGAAACGTTTGGTTTGTTTGAAAAACAAATATACGCGATTTAAATCCGAAAAAATAGTTTCATTTCCTATGTGTAACAATCGCGAGAACCTGTGACGGTGTGACCTACTTACACCGTCATCCCACCTTTTTGTATCGCCTCTCTCCATTCGTATCGTAACGTTTTTCTTCATCAAATTTTTGAATTGGTCCATTTTCCTTCGTATTCTGATTTTATTTCTTCCGACGGTCACTCCCTGCTTGACCGCGATAGCGGATACTACTCAACCAAATTGTCAAATTTTTTTTATTCTTTTCAAGTTTCATCATAATACAATCAATGTAAATCATGTATCGACCGTAATAAGCGAATAACAGTCTATCTGTAATTCATCATAATACAACCCGATAAGGGTTTTTTTCTTTACTTTACCTTTTACTTCACGTTAAATAAATTTGTGCACCGGAAGTTTCCTGTTTTACTGCTGTGATCCTGACCACGGTTGTTAGGGCTACAATCCTTTCAAACCTAAGAACTCGATACGCTATATTTAGATTTTTCAAACAAATCAACGTTTCAGCTTCTTTATTGATCCAATGGCCAAGAGTGACTGGATGATCTAAATAGCAAAAACACAAGCACTTGTTATATTTATACCAACAGCGTTACAACAATTAATAAAAATAGGAATAAAAACAAACAGCCAATTTGTCAAGAGAAATAAAACATTATTTAAAATTCCGAGAGGCGAGTTTAAGTATACCGTTATTTTTGCTATTGACGTAGTTTTCGGTTATTGTTAGGATGAAAACAATGTAATATTTTAGATATAATAATATAAGTTTGCATATGTATAAACGGTATGTGCAATAAATAAATGGAAGTAGGATTTCCCGCACGAGTTAAAGCCTTTATACATTTGGTTCCGGTGATAAGTCTTGTATTGTTACATTTAAACAAAAGCCGTTAATAATTAAACCAAAAAGAATATTTTGAAATTTCATAGCTGTTAAATACCAAACTCCGCATTGGACCAGCATAGTGGTCAATGGCCTAAGTTTCTATAGAAAAGACCTATGACTTGTAGTGGGTCGTAAATAGGTAGACGATGATGATTTTCTGCCAACTGTTTATGAGTCACAATGTTTTTTTGTATGACAATGAATGACGGGACACGACACGTCAACCCATAACAATTGCACGGCCACTCAGAGCCTTAAATAGCAAAGATTTGAGGGGACTGCCATTGCATCCGTTACTCTGAGACAGGAAGTTGACAAGCCTATGTGACTGTACTTTCTCTACCACCTTCAAAACCGGAACGCAGTAATACTCACTTTACTGCTTGGCGGCAGAATTAGGTAAGGTGGCTGTACTTCCCCATGACGAACTTTTTCACAAGGAGTTATACTGCTATTAAACTTACCTTGTCGTAGTAAAGTATAAAGTTGCCAGTTACAAATACAACAAGTCCGGGATTTCAGAGGGAGGTATTATTCACTACGTGTCTATTAAGTTCTTCAAATTTAGGTAATAAATACATTGCATTCTGATCTCTAGTGATGATGCTTATTTACTTTTTGAAGGAGAATTGATTCATGTAATAGATAGATGAAGCCACAATTTCATCATATTTCATATTCGTATGAATAATCTCTAATCTCTGCTGTGGCATTAGCTGCGTGTATCCCTTTGCATACGCCACAGCCGTACGAAAGACAGTATTTCAAATTGTGTTGATTATTTGATATGTTTGCTTCGTTGTTTTTTTTCTCCCCTGCACGAACTCTTTCAAAGTGAAAGTCAAATAATCTTTATTTCGTATGTTAGCAAATTACACTTGAAATCATCAAACTGCCGAGTTCTTAGGTTTTACCTATTGTTACACATTTGTATTTTCAAAACAAATTCACGCGATTCAAATCCGGAATAGTTCCATTTCCTATCATCATACTGATTAAACTCTACTGCTCATTCGTAAGGATTCACCTAAGAAGAATGAGCAAGAAACTCCAGGAGTTGCTCTTTGTAAATATACACTTACAAAAACTGTACCGTCATTGTCATTTTGTAAACTTTCATTACTTTCAGTTGCAGTAGAGCTCCTTGTGAAAGAGTTCGTCTAGGGAAGTACTGCCACATTACCTATTTCTGCAGCAGTAACACGTGAGCATTGCTGCGTTCCGACTTTGAAGGATAAGGGTGCTAGTACAGGCAATTTTAAATAGAAAACCGTGAGACTCAGACATATTAACTTAAATGACGGATAACTCCCATATTTAAGTCGAATTTTCACTCGACATGTTTCGAACAAAAATGTGGTTCTTAATCATGAGATTTCGCGTCGGTGACTCTTACGTGAGTTATCCGTTATTTTAGTTAAAATTACAGGCATCTCTAAGTGGCACTGAAAATGCTATGGACAGGCGTGTCGCTTACCACCAGACGCACGACTCGTTCGTCCCGTCATTTGGTACCGCCACGATTTTCGGTAGGACCAATTTGGAAACGAGCTTTTTATAACTAGGTTTCAGTCTGGGTGTTCTAGGTCAATACTCTAGTGATAATGACACAAGGAATTGCAAAGTTCAATTCCAGGTAATGGATGTGATCGTCTGCCGTATTATTATAATTATCATAATTGGCTTTTGAAGATATATTAATTAGTAATAATGACCGACGACATCAATATTATAAAGCGCGATATGGCGTGTCCTGGCTAGTCGATAATATATATGATTTAACGATAAACTTAAGTGCATATGTCTGTAAAGGTTTCTTAGCTTGAAATCATTCCATACTTTCATGATTTGGGACTTATAAAGCGTCCTCAATGTCGGTTTATTTAAAAAAAAAAACACAAATCACGCGATTTTAGATCCGAAAAAACTCAGTTTATTCTTATTATTTTTTTTTACAAATATAAGTGCACATTTGACCTCCGTCTCACCTACTGGAAAGTGACGATGAGGTCGACAATAGATCACGCACACCTAAATAATGCCTATTCACTCTCGCCTTGAAAAGGTCCACAACGTTCATAACGTTAATATTATAACGTTCAAGGAAGAAGTCTGCAGGCAGGATGTAGTACAGATAGACTATATTTATTGTCTAACTGCAACATGTGGTGCGTATTGCTTGGTTAGTAATTAAGTTTATGTTTTATTTTAAATTGTAAATTCCAATTTATTAAATTCCACTCCGTAGGCGTTCGCCATATGAATGTAGAAGCATTACGCTTCGTGCGAACATTTGGAATATCCACAACATAGGGGTGGAATCCAAGCTTACGTCTAGTCCCCCGATGATGGAAAGGGGAAGGCGGAATTAAATCCTGTAATTCCATCGCAAACTCTGTGTGATATATTCTGTAAAATACCGATAAACAGGCGACTTTACGGCGGTGTTCAAGGCTCGGCAGCTTCGCCTTTATTTCCTTAATGGCGGTCAAAACCTTTCATCCTTACCTTCAAAAATGTATGACATTGTTTTTTAAAATTCCGGTGTAACATACTCGTACTATCGCGTATTTGTGGAGGCATATGTATAGTAGTTATGCAACTTCATTGTCAACATTCAAGTTCGTAATTATAACAATGTATTTCATCTAGTAATATATTTATTGTCAGTTACGCGAGTTTTATGTATTTTTATGTAACAAAATTTTCTGCCGTTTTTAACATTTCTCCTACATGTCGTACTATCTGGATGACCATGGCTCGTTAC